ATGCATTTTAGATGCCTCCCCAGAAAATTAAAACCTCTAGTTTCAAAATTAAAAAATTCCCCTTGTTCCCACTCTAGGTATGAACACTTCAAATGACACGACATGAAGGCTACATAACTAAACCAGATTTTACATATTTACATATAGATTTACATATTCACATGTCAATGCAGACAACTGCCGATTTCGGTGCTGCATCTACAATCTCAATCTACAATCTACAAACTAAAAAATAAACGAAAATAAATCATATAAAGTGCAATACACTTCTACAATCCTCACTTGCATTCAAATGAAACTAAAGAACTACAAATCATCAATAAAATTGGAAGTATTCACACTGAATGCGAAATTGAAAACCATTAATGGGAGTAATTAGATTTGTGACATTATTTAAAACCTTATTCCTTAAACTGTCAAAAGCTTAATCATCCACTTTTTTACCCCTTTTTGTAGTTTAAAATCCTGTTCTTTAGTGGGATCTTGTATTTGTGCTCATTGTGGTCTTGTTCATTTGAGAAAAACAAATGGGAAGACCTGTTAAATATACTGGAGCTACAGGCATGACTTGCACAGCGAGCAATACATAAGTGATGGTAGGACAACAATTCAACTGAGACATAATTGAAGTAATTTGGAACAAGACATGCATCATACTGGAAGGTTAGGACTTTCTCACCCAATGTACATAATGACTAATTCAGTTCTCCACTGAGTAAAGTTTTAGAAAAGATCGGTCACTAATGACTAATTTCAGGCGGTAAGTACAGTCAATTAAAGACGTGAATTATTTAAATACTGTACACTTCACAGTTTAGATTCTGCTTTGCTCTTGCCAATTCACACAATTCTGCCACTGTTTCACTGCATCATGGGTGCCCTCAAAATCAATGTAATTATTTTTAAAAATGCTTCTTGGATGTCGTCACAATTACTGAAGTTCTGAGCTCGGAGAGCTTCATCGGGTTGAGCTAAAGAAAACCCAAAAGGCGCGAGTAGTAGAACATAAAAATGGTTCAAAACCAAGGCTCTTGAATCCATTGCACCAGAGTTCTTGACATTTGCAAGAATGGCTTGTCGTGTTACAGAACACTTAACATCTGTACAATGACAACAAGCAGAAATGTAAAAGGCCCCTATGAAGCAAGATATTTTCCAATTCTTGAATACTACAGTATATAATAACTGCAACTTAAATGCAGCATTTAACATGGACACACAACACATGTTCTCCTAAAAAAGTTGGTATTAATATAACCAAGTGGTGGCACGGTGGCACAGTATTCAGCATTGCAGACTCACAGCACCGAGACCCTGGGTTCAATTCCAGACCTGAGGAGCTATCTGTGTGGAGTTTGTATGTTCTTTGCACGTTTAAGTGGGTTTTCACCAAGTGGTCCGGTGTCCTCCCACAGTCTGAAGACATACTGGTAGGATAATGTGGCTCTGCAAAACGTGTTGCGTGCGTGCGTGCGTGCGTGAATATTTTGTCTCTGCATGTGTGCTGCAATGGACTGGCATCTCATCAAGGGCGTATTCTGCCTTACACCCTGGCTCCCCTGTGAGCCCGAATTTAAATGACTTATTTCTGCTTGCATGTTCTGGATGTTCCTAATCCCTAGCATCCAAGGTGTGGAATAGAGCACACATCAAGCAAATGGGAGGTAGACCAGCAGAATGAGCAGAGCTTCATGCAATTACTCCCATTTGAGACCTATTACAGCTGGGAAGCTAAACCACCCTTGAACTTTTGTCCAATTAAGCCCTAAAAAACATCTGGGGCAAAAAGAGCCACTGTGAAATCACTGTTAAAAACCTGTTACTTCATAGTTATAATTCATTAGCATATCTGTTAGCCCTTCATTTGCTCCTCTAAGGACAGCATGTTTACTCCATTGTACTTTTTGGAAATCAGTCTGTATAAACCTATGCACATATTTTATTGTTTTTACAGTGACTATTTTGCACACATCTATGTATTTATTTATGTTTATTTATTTTGTTGTCTTTTGTTTTATAACTATTCTGATGTCTATTTTGCTTGTCTTGGGCTGGACTGCTGTAACACATCAATTTCCCTACGGGATTAATAAAGTATTATCTATCTAAGGCAATGTCAGTCCAAGACGAGCATAATAACACCATAAAAAACTGCAAAAATTATAGTAATTTTAAAATGGAAAATCTGGATGTGAAGTTATTACTTGCCATGAATAAAGTTAATTTCAAACCTAATAACCCCAAATCAGTATATTAATTTAGATTTTATGGCCTTGAATTATTGAATTATTTTCCCTTTCTCTATTTTGCATCAACACAACATTCTAAAATTACTTTTCGCAAATTTTTTAATTGATGTCTTGAGGCCACAGAGGATCACCATCTTGCCAAGAGTGCATACATAGCACCTCCCTGTGCATCACAAAAGGTTCAATTTAATCCTCTCTGAGAAATTGTCGGTGATTTTCACTTTTATTCTTTGCATTTGAGGTTGCAGTGCTTTTTGTACATCTAGCTGTGCTCTCGTCCGTAACGAGACACAGAAAATTTGTTTCTAATGATAAATTGATGAGCAGATGTTTCCTGAGGTTAGTCTGTGATCCACAGCGCTGTGTTCCATTATTTGCACAGGTAGTTGTTTGCCGTGTGCTAAGCTGCCTCTGTAATAAGGACTGGAAATGTGAAAAACAAACACGTCAATCAGCCTTAAGCACTCAAGCTGAGAAAATGAACCCATCTGTAACCATGCTGCCTCTCACATCCTGCTTCTAACACAAGCCCAGAAACAGGCAGATCTGTCTTTTTTCTGAATAAGTCACCCTTTCTATAAAAAATGAGGCACTTTGTAAAACGAATGGAAGTGAAAGCAGGCTTAACGACAACACGCACACACCAGTATGCGTTTCATGCCTATGCTTATAAAACTCCTATTTCCCTGCAAGTTATTATCAGGACTGTTTGTGCAATCACCAGCTCCAAAAACTTTTACATCGAAGGGGAAAAAATAGCAAAATGACCGACCTAAACAACAAATCAGAAATGATTATTCCTACACGGTTTCAAGAGCATATATCTCCAGCAGCCAACACAGAAGTGTAGACTTGCTCCCGGCACAGGCAAGACTGGACTCACTTGTGAACAATACTGCGCCCATGGCCGATAAACTATCAAACTGCGTACAATGGTCTACTGTAGCGCAACTAAGCTTCTGTTTGAATATCTGCTTATCAGAAACTGCATGAGGCCAGATAGCCCAAAACACAGGTACAGTGGATTCTCTCAGGTCAGTCAATGCAGGAAAGTCATTCAATGCATGGAAGCAGTCTTTAAATGTGCTTTCAATGTCTACCTGTTAAACCAACCATAGGAGCAAATATGAAATCCAATTGATATAATATACATCTTAAAATGATCTTTCGAACTTGTTAAATATAGTCCATTTTACCAAAAGCTATCACATTCCATTGAATTATTTGGTCTTTTGTCAACCAGAACACCTTATTACACAAGACAATTTCATAGAAATTTCAATGGGGGAGAACAAGAACTAAAATCAGCTGTTTGATCACCTTATTTCATGTACCATACAGTTGGCTCACAAGGGGAGACTTCAACTAAGGTCACACAGAATAAGTAACAGAGTAAGCAGTACCCCTTTTGGTAGAATGGTTACAAAGAAAACAGTAACACGTGGTTATGAAATATAATTCTAAATTAAGAGTTCCTGGAAAAAACAAATGTTCCCTAGAAAAGCGAGACATCTTCACTCTATCAATCACAGCCAAGTTTCCTCAGCCTCTAGCCTTTTCAGTGTTAAGTGTGCAATTCATGTATTATCACAATGGAACATTTGGAAATGTTTACATCACACTTTACCCTTTGTACAAGTTTAGTTTAGGAAAATTCTAATTAAAAGCTACAAGTCTGTACTATTGTACTTGATCCATTTCAAAACCAATGCCCCAGTAAGGTAATTATTGGCAAAATTGTAAACCGAGATCCTAACTGCTGGTTATTAAAAATCCCACGGCCTGGAATGTAAATTGGGGTGTTAACCCCAATGATCAGAAGCAATCTGGCATACCTAAAATCTGGGAGGAAAAGGACTATGATTGATAGCAAAGGACAGTTCTCAGAAATTATTTTCCTTGAAACAGAAACAACAATTTAAAAAAGGATTAAAGTAAAGAACTTAGTAGAACAAGTTACTGTATTTCATACAAAAATGTTTCCTGAATCCACTACTATACTGCATTGCTGATAAAACTGTAGCACTGAGCATTCCTGCTCCCAATAAATCTTTTAAACACCGACTACTGTCCCTTGTATGAGATTTACGAGACAGCCTTAAGTCTGGAATTAATCAGGGATTTATAGAGGATTTGCCAATTTTCATTGCTAAGGCTATTTATATTTCACAGGGCACAAGACAATCTAGATTATAACAAAACTGGGATTAAAGTAATTTAATCTTTCTCTGCATAATTTCAAACCCTTAGTCATTGCAGCATAAATCAGTAAACAATCTATTGGTTAGTCAATTCAGCCCAGTGTTAAAGAGCTATCAAAGATGTCATTCACACCACAGGACACAATGTTGATGAAAGTAACTTCTAAAACCACACGCGTAACGTTTGCTCGATATCATTTTCTTTGGGCTATGAATTCTTATGTTTAAGGACTTCTTGGCTTATAGAACTCTAAAAACATCTGGTAGGTCTCCTAACATTCAAGGACATTTTTTTTTAAATGGACAGAATTTCCCCAACTATTTTAAGGACAATCCGTTTCTTACTGGATTAAATTCCAGTGGTGTGGGATTTCTTTTCCCCAACACACACCACTATTTCCTACAGGCAAAGGGCAATAACCAATCTATTCTTCACATATTTTAGAAGTAACGTACAATAACTTTACAATAAACAAGAGCTTTTTGTCCCCTGAGGTCTCCAGTGCTTCATAGTTCCCCTCAAACAGTTAACAACGGAAAAGGTTCTTACCTGTCCAGTCATTGCAGGCTGAGGGTCACGCTTTCCTACATGGTTACCCATGCTTGAACTGAAGCTGCAAGAAACAGGATAATGTTAAATGACTGTCATATTCCATTTTCAAAGGGAATCAGTATATCAAAACCTCTTTTTAAAAATGGATGATTAACAAAAATAAAATCATAATCACATTCTTTTCCAGGTCTGCTGACTATAATTTGGTTTTACCCAGAATGTTGCTCCTTAAGCTACAGCAAAGACACCAGATAGATTTTGAACAGACCTGTTAATTTAATATGGTTTTGGAGTTCAGAGGGCATGTTAGTATTATGAATGGGGAATTAAAGATGACCACGTATCAGCTTTTACGCTATAAAAGAGAATACACATTCAACCATAAGAACTAAATGAACATTAAGGAACTCTAGTTCTCGATTTGATTTTTAATGTTATTACTTAATGAGTTGAAAGCATTTTTGCAATGCAAAGCCGAACCTACATAAGATTACAACTAAAACAAGGCATGACAGTCTGAAAACAGTGCTGAGTTACAGCTCAAGCTTTTTTTTACAAACTAATCTACCACAGCTCTGCTGAAAGAAAAAATGGGATGAACTGCTCCTAAAATTTCATTAGCCAGTCCCCATCTTTCAGAGTTGTAAAGTGGGCTTGCAAACTAACAAATTAAAATAAGACTTCTGTCATCTGATGCTACCCAAAGGCCATATGGGATTCAGCCATATTTGCATTTCCTGTATTTCTGAGCACAAATGGTTCACATCAGATACATGACTTCTCTTAAGGAGCACTTATATTTGTTCTGCAGAGCATTTTGGAACAGAACCTTAATTAATCCTCCCACATCCTTCCAGCACCAATCCTACAAAGATCCAAATGTGTTTTACAAGAAAAGTGAGGTTGGCACTTCATCCACAACCAGCCATTCTATACCAGCAGTTCCACTACACAGCAGCTAATAGAAAAAAGGGGAAAAAAAACACTTCATCTAATGAAATAAAGTGGTACTTCTAGACGGGCCAGAGTGTTCAGTCTTTTACTACGAGCTACATGCCTCAATTCAGTGGTTATGTCTTGGCTAAATTCGACTAAGAATATCAGGGTTAACACCCTTCGTGCCACCACATTTAAGGCATTAAAGAAACCGGTGCCATGGGACCTTCAATGACCCTAAGCTAATCTGGGGTCCTGACATCTAATTCTAGGGAGAGCACCTCCAATTGCACAGTAGCCCTGGTCACCTTGCCAGGTCAGCATTTTGGAAATTGTTCCAGAGGGAGGGTGGAGAGTGCCATATACTTTCTTTTGCATTAAAAACTTCTAAACCCTTCATATTAGTGCTATACAAATCTGCCCTTTTATTTGTCCAATACATTTCCAAATGTGTTTTTTTTTTATTTCTAAATCATGAGGCTGAATCTCATGAGTCTAGAACTCTCGGGAGACCTTAACCTTCCCCCCTCCCTTCTTTGGACAGATGTGCCAAAGCCGCCAGCTTCATTACAGTGCCCAGGACACAGCTATAGCAGCCATATCTCCCATGATGCATTTGTGAAGTGGTATTGTAAAGGCTGCACAATTTACTATTCGATTTCTTACAGGTTCAGTTTTTTTAGCTCCTTTCTTTCCTCCACACCTCTTATAACCTAGCAGCTGGTACATCCATCTTACTAACTGATAAGCCACACAGCAGGCAGGATAAGCTTCAGTGATGCAGGATGTAAGGACACAGACACATTTACTTCAAATCATCCATGATGGCCAATAAGCCCTAATCACATATTAGCAGGTCGCCATCAGACACGTATAACAGATATACCCTGCACACCTGCATTTACCTATTACAGTCCAGGTACACATGGTTTTGTGTGGGACCAACACAACCTACTTATACAGAGCACTGCACAGTGTAAAACACAAGCTTGTAGTGGAGAGGCTAATTATAAAAGCACAGTTCTTCTGCACTACAATAGGAAGTTGGGGAAAAACAAAACTGGCTACAAACAGGCATGGCAAAATTCATCAGTAGATAAAATCCAAAAGCAAATGCAATTCATCTCTCAATTTTTTTTTGGTCACAGTGTTTGATGTATGTACATAGTCCCAGGAGATTTCTTACAGTCTATCCTCTGTTGTGAGCTCTCTTTCTCTAGCTCTTTAGAACAGTTTGTGTTGATCAGCTGTGAGTCAGGAAAGCTGTTATGGGCCCATAAGACCTCCAGAAGGGCTCAGAAGCAAAGCAATGTGTTGACAAAATAAACCCCCTCCTCCAGAATAAGCCATTGCTTTCATGTAAAAAGAGGTGGCATGTTACATCCAGGGGTCTGTTCATTGCTTATTACATCACGTGCTGACCCACAAGGTTCATAAGAAAAAACATCACGCTGCTGACAAAACTGATTACAGGACTTGAAAAGAAAAACAAGACTCCTTTTGGGTTTAAACAACCCACTCTTTAAGCACACGCTTCAGCTGAAGAACTGCACTGGAGACAATGGTGGCTCATTAATGTAATTGTCAGATGTTGTCCTGCAAGCTAGAAAACATGCATCATAAAACATCGACAATTTTTGTTGGACTGTAAAAAACAAAACAAAAAACAGCTTCACGTTTAATGAAGCCTGTATATCTACCAGGAGCAACTGAAAATGAAATTATTTAATTCCCTTAGGGTCAAAGTAAGCAGCCAACAGATTTGATTATAATTAGGTAATTTTCTTTACAATCAGCTTAGAATCTTTGTTTTTTGTTTCATTATTCTAAAATGCTCTTTTATTTCTTATTTTGAATGCTGAAGAAAAATAATACATGAAACAATCTAATACACCCCAAATTACACCCCAATCTAATTGGAAAAGTAAAGCAAAATTGAGCATTTCTGGCTGTAGAAACCATGTAACGCCATAGACCAGGACATCACAGGTACTGAGGTGGGGGTAGTTGGGTGATGCAAACCTGCTGCTATAAAAGGCGTTGGTGGACTAACAGGTGGTGCTTACCCTCCCCCAGACCAGGATTTCCAAACCAAAGCCTCAGTGGGTTAAGTTTGGACATTGTAAGAGATGCAGTCTTGAAGATTAGATTTTAGTGAAGTCCTGACAAGAGGGAAGAAGGGCAACTCACCTTGTTTCAAGATAAACATACATGAATACAGTATATATATATAGGCTTTTTAAATATGAACACACCTGGTTATATAAATGCACTATATATGTCCAAGATCATTGCCCCCTATCAGTATGTTGTTAAATGAAAAAATACAGAGTAATCTCTTCATAAGTAAAAACAAAACATACAGCTCCAAGTTAAACTTTGTTTCCCCAAATGTACAAAGGAATTAAAATCTGAGCCACATTTAGCAGTTACAATGTTTTATTAACAATTTAAGCCTTCGCTAGTTTTCCATTACAACAGCTGTGACTATTAATCCATCTTAGTTTGGAAGAAATCAAACTTGTAATTTAGAACCCTTTAATTCTATTGCACAGAATTCTTCATTACTTAAATAAATCTGATCACAACATTTCATAGTAAACTGCACTTACAGTGAACAGCCATCACTTTTAACAGTGTATATCAGATTTCGCATATCAGCGTACATCACAGCACCATTATGATTTCTTTAAAGATGAAACCATTTTCCCAATTTAAACTTCTAAACATGTTTGAAGATACCACTACAAAAGGCATTATACAAAATCAGAAATCCATCAATTACACTCAAGATGCAAGGCATTTTTCCACTCCATGTTCAGAAAAGTCAACAGGTTATTACATGCTTCATTGTTCTGAAGTAATAACTGCAATCATAGAGCCTTTGTACTTCATTTCAACCTAAAGAGCGCACCAAAATGCTACCGACACTTAACATTCAGCAAAAACTATGCACATGAAAAAGCAAGATTAATTAAAATGAGCCTGCAGCAGATGGAAAACAATTGCTGGGGCAAAATGTAGAGTAAAGTGACTGAGAATGTGTTTGCAACTTGGGAGAAAATAGGTGTCAGCACAGGTGGTTGAGTCACTCAGTGTGACTAACAAAGCAGCACAGCTAGCAACACTCTGGTGATGGAATATAAGCAATATGTCTAATTGGTAAAATAAATGCAGATGTAAGAACAGAAAGAAGCTTTCTTATATTAATATAGTATTATAAATCTACAGTGCCTGTGAGGGGTCTACACCCACTTGGACTTCTTCACATTTTATTTAGGTTACAGCATGGAACCAGAGTGTATTTAAATGAAAATTCTGGCAACTCATCAACACAAAGTACTCTATAATGTCAAAGTGAAAAAAAAATCCAGACATTTGACTAAATTAATTTAAAAAACAGAAAATAATTGAATGCATAAGTATTCACCCCCCTAGAGTTAATACTTGGTAAGACCACCTTTGGCAGCAATTACAGCTGTGAGTCTCTTTGGATAAGTCTATCAGCGTTGCACATCTTGAAGAATTTTCTTCTTGGCAGAATTGCTCCATCAGAGTGGATGGGGACCATTTGTGAACAGCAATGACAACAGTCATTCCACAGATGCTCAATTGGATTGAGGTCTGGGCTTTGACTGAGCCACTCTAGGACTTTAACCTTTTCGGTTTTCAGCCACTTCAGTGTGGCTTTTGCTGTATGTTTCGGATCATTGTCCTGCTGGAAGATGAATCATCTTCTAAGTCCCAGTGCTCTTGAGGAATTGCAGCACGTTTTCCTCCAGGATTTCTTTTGGACGTAGCTCCATCCATTTTTCCTTCTATCTTTATGGGTTTTCCAGTCCCTGCGGCAGAGAAGCATCCCTCAAAAGCATGATGCTGCCACAACCATGCTTCGCTGTAGGGATGGTGTTCTCAGTGTGATGTACTGTGTTAGGTTTGCGCCAAACAAAGTTCAAAGTTAAATTTAGAATACAATCTTCCTCCAAATTGTTGAGTCTCTCGCATGCCTTTGGGCAAACTCCAGGCGAGATGCGATAAAAGTTTTTTTTCCCCAACAAAGGCTTTCTTCTTGCCACCCTTCCGTACAAAAATTATGAAGTGTGTGTGCTACTGTTGTCTCATGCA